GTTCCTTAGAGGTGTTATGGCAATCACCACCACTAGATGGCGCTCTTGGCGACCAGACTCACCTTGAACAATGCCGGGAAGACCCGTGCATGGTCGAACATGAGGCAGTTGAATGAACCGTAGATGCCGTCGTTCACGTACAGCTTGTTCTTCACCGTCTTCGTTCCGGTCTCTGCGGAGATGAACAGCGCAATGGATGAACAACCAGCACATTATTTTAAATGCTCAACATAAACGATGTGACCGACCTTTTTAGAGATCTTTTGGTTTCACGCACACACATAACCCAAACATGTGCACGCATACACACACACACCCAGACATGTGCACGCACGCACGCACGCACACATATAACCCAAACATGTGCACGCACGGCGCACGCACGCACACATATAACCCAAACATGTGCACGCACGGCGCACGCACGCACACACACCCAGACATGTGCACGCACGCATCCACGCACATCACACACGGGCCCACCGTTTGTAAACTGTACCTTTGTTCCAGGTAACATCCACGTCCTTCGAGTGGACGTTTACAACCAAGGTGAAGGCGGAGGCTACCATGTAGCGGCCGGGCTCGGCGATCAAGCGAACGCCGCAGCCTTCGGGAAAATGTTCGTCCAGCGATGCGTTCACCTCGTTGCAGATCTGAAACAGGCGGCGGGAGCAGTCGTGAACTACGGCCTCACAGACTCGACACCCCACCCCACTTCCTCTGCCTTTATCTCCACCACCTCCACACACTTTCAGCCATGTATCGTCTCACTACCTCCCAACAGCAAATATGTAGCCGTTGTAACAGTTAGCCTGCGCTGGCTACAAAAACAACATAATTTTCTCGAGGGCTACCCCGTGCGTCGTCGAACTCTATGCTAGCTAGGCGAATAACGCAATGTTCTCTTACATCGTCAAAATCTATGCTGGCGTTGCGGTCACCGGGATATCCTCCGCCGATGTCGAGCAGAGAGAACGCGTATCCAACTTCGTCGGCCTCCTCGAACACTCGCTTGGCATCGCGGATCGCGACGCTCCACGCACTAGCGTCTGAACTGCCGCTGCCGACGTGGAAACTGCCGAAAATCAAATATCGATGCTGCAAAAAATTTTCCTCGAGGAATTTTCAGATTTGCCGTGGCATAGGGAGAAGTGATGGTATCAAATATGGGGTTGGCTGTTTTAATTGTGTGATACATGTCATTGACGATCGTTCACGTGAAGTACAAACATAGGTAGGTTTGTTCTACTATAGATGACAACAGGTATAACAGCAACTAATTATATTATTCTTATCCTTTGCGTTTAACCTTGGAGACATAACACGTTTTTGCTTCATGCAACATATCTTCCTGACTAGATAGATATCTTATCATTTCATAAAGATAAATTAAAACTGCTACGAAATTTCCAAAATTCACAACCATCAAAAATTCAGCCAACCTTCCGCAGGGAAAGATTCGGGAGGGATCCTTCTCCGTGGAAAGATTCCAAAAATTCCCAGAAAATTTCCCACCCTTTCCGACCCCACAACGAGGAGACAGACGCGCGCGGTCACGAGAAAAACGGCGCTCCGACCCAAGCAGGGAACCTGTGAAACCGGACCGAGGGACATGAGCAGGGGGCGCCACCTACCTGACGCCGATGACGTTGAGTTCGAGCTGGCGGGCGATGGTGAGCAGGCGGCGAGTGTCCGCCAGCTTCGCTCCGAACTTGATGCTCAGCGGGCACTGCGCCTTGCTGTCGTCTGTCGTGATGCGAATCACCAGCCTGCGCGAGAACAAACGTCGTCACCGACAAGCGAACATCACCGACAAGTGAACGTCACCGACAAGCGAACGTCACCGACAAGCGAACGTCACCGACAAGTGAACGTTCCGCACGGGAGAGCAGACAAGCCGAGCGGGTGACATGAAGCACTATGAGATGAAGCCATGTGGGGAGATACGCCCAGGGAGAGTACAGACACGAGTGAATGCGCTCGCACGCACACACACTCACACATGATAACTGGAGCATATATACGTGCGAATCAAACACACATAAATACACAAAACTCGTTTCTTAGGCCACCCGTGTTGCCGGAGCCTGGCTCGATGAATTTTCAGTTCCAGTTAGTTTTTTTTATTACTATGAGCATCTTAGAAAAAAAGCTAGTGAGAGTTTTAGGGGCATTAACACAATAAACACGCTCTCACGTGTACATAAGCACACACGCACACACATGCGTGCACATTGGTACTTATGCTCGTACGCTCACACGCACATACGAATCCAAACACGCACACGCATACACACACGCGCGCGCGCGCGCACACACACACAGAGATCCACACACACGCACGCACGCACGCACGCACGCACACGCACACGCACACGCACACGCACACGCACACGCACACGCACACGCACACGCACACACACACACACACACACACACACACGCACGCACGCACGCACGCACGCACGCACGCACGCACGCACGCACGCACGCACGCACGCACGCACGCACGCACGCACGCACACACACACACACCGCACATCAGACTCACTTAGCGCCCGGGTGCAGCCGCTTGATCTTGTACAGCTCGTGCTCGTTGTCGAACGTCGTCATGGCGACGTCGTGCTCGGCGGCGTATTTGACGTGTGACGCGATCTTGCAGGGGCTCGCGAAGATCACGCGCTCGGGGGAAACACCGAGGTCGAGCACGGTGGACATCTCCTTCTTACTGGCGCAGTCAAAGTTGACCCCGAGGTCAGCAATCAGACGCAAGACGCCGGGAGTGTCGTTACACTTCATCGCTGCAGCGAGGGAGAACGACATGGAACTCACGCTCGAGGAAATCTCGGGCTTAGAGGAAGATTGTGCTTAGAGGAACCTTGGGCTTAGAGGAACATTAGGCTTAGAGGAACCTCGGGCTTAGAGGAACATTGGGCTTAGAGGAACATCAGGAGTAGGGGAACCTCGGGCTTAGAGGAACATTGGGCTCAGACTTAGAGGAACATTGATCAATCTATCCTTACATCCTTACAAAAGATGTTCCCTCGAGCATGAAATCATGGGAACCTCTGGCTCTTATGCACCTTTCTAATCATTTCAAACCTGCTAAACGTAAAACCTCTACGGAAAAGTAATTTTTTTCTGTCATTTTTCTGGAAGAAAAGTATCAGTTTTCCTCAATTTCGACCCCTTGAGATTATTATTATTATTATTATTATTATTATTATTACTATTACGCATGCACAACACAAACAGCACTCACCGTAGAATGGTTCGACGCGAGGCATCTTCTGCTGCCACTCTCTGTACTTCCTCACAATGTCATTCAGGTCGATGACAAAAAAATGGCTATCCTGGAATCAACGGAAATCTCAATTAATGTGACGTTCAGTGTCGCTGCGTGCCAACCGTTCCCTTCTGGACCACCACCATCTAGGTCAGTGGTTCTTAACCTTTTTTGAGTCATGGACCCCTTTGTTAATCTGGTGAAAGCTACAGACGCCTACCTAGAAAATGCACATAAGCCCATAAACACAACATTTTGCATGCGCCTGGTTCACGGACCCCCTGAAGCCCATCCACGGACCCCCTGAAGCCCATCCACGGACCCCTAAGGGGTCCATGGACTACAGTTTAAGAACCCCTGATCTAGGTGGTGCCACCTAGATGGATAAACGATGCCAGGTGGTGAGCATGCCAGCCCCGCCCCCGGCTGCTTGAAGACGTCGCTGCCACTACGTCTGCGCCCGTCGTTGCTTAGCAACCAAAAGGTTTAGCATGCATCGCAGCTTTGATCTGCCGATATTGTAGGTTGTGTAATGCTGTACGCGTCCACGCAACTGCATCGGATTCAGAGGCATTTTACGAATCAAATTCAATTTTGCAAAGGTAGACTGCATTGCACATGTTCATCCTTTAAGAAGCCAAAAGATGAAGCTGGTGGAGTTGCATCATTCAGATAACCGGTTACCCAGAACAACGCTAGCCTAGTTCCCATCCAGCTATTTATACAGCATACATACACCATATATATGCAGCATACATACAGCATACATACACCATATATACGGCATATATACGGCATATATACAGCACATAAAGCACATATACACCGTAACAGCATATATTATACAGACTGTACCAGTAGGATGAGGTGTAGGTGTGTAGACGTGCTTACCATGCCGCTGGTGTTGACTACACGCTGGATCATCTCGGCAATGTACGCGGGCACGTCGAGCGTGCACACGCTGCTGCTATTCACCTCCAACTGCATCGTCAATTTGAGAAATTTGTCGGATTTATTACAAACTGGGGCAATCCGCCGGTGTTAAGTGATTCCAATGAGCCTGTAATTAAAACGTAAGTAGTGGATAAACGGACGACGTGTCACGAGATAGCAGCATCTGTTGACAATTATATTATATTGACATTATAAGCTACCATCGCACTAAAAAATAACTTATATACACCAGATTGGTTCATGCAAAGGACACCACACTCCTAATTTAGATTAGATATACGACACTCTCTATATGAAAATATAAGCATGTTTTTTACAGTTTACGTACACAGGGTGCAAAATTAACGGGAGTCCGGAGTCAAATACCCCTGATTTACTGTCGGACTCCCTGATATGATGACATATGCAGGAGTCCGTGCGACTCCCTGAAAATTCTGCGATACTGACTAGTTCGTTCCGGAGCACGGCCTCGCGGAATTACCGTATTTTTCCAGCTAATGTACCAAGAAAATTTGGCAGACGTGCAACTGCATGAATCTTAAAAATAAGTACATGCGTTATTGTTAATATCTTTAATTTTGAACCTCAGACTGCGGACTCCCTCATGTTGCTGCAGACTCCCTCTTTTTGAGGGTAGGGAGTCCGTGGAAAAGTTAATTTCTACCCCTACGTACATGTTCTTGTGTGTGCAAACTTGCAAGTTTTTTATACTTTAATCGTGTGGAAATAACCTACCGGATGTGGAATGCCTCAATTTTGAGCAGATATCAGCTGGGATCCCAAACCGGCTCTCTGTTGAAGTCTAGCTGAATTCTGAACAGGCAGGCCCCCGCAGGGTTTTCAGCGGCGAATCCGCCCTGAAAGATAAACAAAAACATTACATTAGTTGAAGCCATTCTGTTACTTATGCGCACGTGAGGCCCTGAAAAAATCGCGCAACTACACGTAGCACGCACGCACTCACGCGCGCGCATGCACACACACACACACACACACAGAAATCACGTGGTTACTTGATAGCAAATGAAAGAAAACTGTAGGCTGCAATGATAACTGCCAACACCAGACCTGCCAACCTGTGATTCATGAAAATAGTAAGGCTTTTCTTTTCTTGCAGCAGGCGGCCATTTTGTTTGTATGTTATGCATGCGCGCAATGAATGATGGGACTAACTCTAGATCACGCGAGAACAACGTGAACGTGTGATCCAATATGGCTCACAATCGCCAGATATTTCTCGGCTCACAATGTAAAAAACATTAATTTCCAAGTCGTAAAAAATCGTGTTTTTCAGTTTGATCGTACATTCGTAAAAACATATTGGAATTAGTAAGGAATACGAAAAAATCGTAAGGGTTGGCAGGTCTGCAACACAAGTCAAACAACTGTGTGCAGCTAATGTGCCATGCCGGAAGGATGTCTCAATCTAACAACAATTCGCATAGCGGTAATACTCGCGGAGAAACCCTCGAGGTACAGAACCGCACACACAGATCGACGGCATCTGTTTCCCCCGCAGCTGTTCCCATCGCCACATGCTGCACACACATTAACGTGCCGGTACCGGCCGCACCGCGGGTGTAACCTAGGTGATCTACAGTAGGGGGAGGGGGAGATAACGTTACAACTCACAGGCGGAAGGAGCGGCGGCGGCGTGCGAGCGAGCGAACGCGACTCAGTTACGCGAGAGATAAGCATGGCTTCATCTCCGTCCGTCCGTCCTCCATGCTGCTGCTGCTGGCTTCACAGACATAGCGTCGCATGTGCGTAAGGGTCATCGTCGTTACATGCATACGCACGAATATCGTCGCAAGTGTTGATCGACCGCGACACCTACGTAGTGTTGTGAACGCACGGTTCCATACTGCGACGTACTTTACCCCTTCGTAATGGCCCGCTTTTGGGGTTAAAATGAATCCTAAGCAGGTTGCACATGTGTTATCTCGTAACTTGTATACATAGAATAAACCTAGATCTATATCATACACGCCGATTTCGTGCAGTGTTACCAGTGTCGAGGCAACAACCAGTGAACCACCCTACACCTATATATATATATATGCGTGTGAAATTCACAATGGGGGAAGTAGTACACTGTGGAAGCACACAGGTCACGACACGCACGCACTTCACATGCTGCACCCATGAACAAAAACACGCCGCCACTACTTGATCAACCTAAGATTTGCGGACCTGTAGGCTCAAGCACAAACTGCAGAGCACTCGCTCTCGTGTGAGGGAGACGGCGAGCCAGATCGACCTCTGCCACACAATGCTCGTCCGGTCACGCAACCCAAGGCGTCCCCCTCGCAATGCAGCCGAATGTGCAATAGCTGTGCACACTAACCCAGCACACACCGCACCACACGGCTATGCACCAGCACGCACACACCGCACCAGATGCACCAGCACGCACACACCGCACCAGATGCACCAGCAC